AAGCTAGTAACTTTAAGCTTACAAATTATGAGTTACACACTTCTTGGTACAGATAGCAGTTATTCACTCAGCCTTCCCTGAACCTGTGTTGCTGATATTATTTATGGGTTCCATCAATCATTGTGCACATTTTGGGTTTTGAGCAAAATTGGTGATGTGAACAAGCATGTATAACACAGAGCTTATCTTAGGAAGGCTGTATTAGACAACCAGTTTGCATTCACATCTATAAGACAATCCTAAAAGATCACTAAATGCCCAGTATCAGCTTTCCTTATAATGAAGCCTGTTTAAATCTGATTTTCTCAAATCATAGTAAATCTATCATCATGAATAGCAGATGTAGTTAAGAGAATAAAGTTATTTCTAAATTCTAACTGCTCCATTTTCAATATAAAGAAATAAATTCTAGATTTTTTTTTCCTTCAAATTAGAATTTTCTTTAAGCTCAAGCGAAAACAATTAAAAAATACCCTGTAATCAAGCATTTCAGAGGCAAAAGCAAGTGGATCTCTGTGAGATCAAGGCCAGCCTGGTTTACATAGAGAGTTCCAGGCCATCTGGGGCTACAAACAAACAGAAAATAGATGAGGAGGGTGCTAAGGGAACTTAGAATAATGGCCCATAGTATAGAAGAGGGCAGGGATATATTCCACACAGCAGAACAAAGAAGTCTAAAGAGATCGAGCCTAAGAGAGGAGAAATAAGAGGTCAGGAATGAGAACCAGAGAGTATTGGCTTGACTTTCAAGCTAAAAACTCCAAGTGGGTAGCTGAAGCAAAGGGCAAGTGAATCAGATAATCTGAAACTAATCCAACTATACACATGGTCCTAGTTTCTCAGGGAATAGCCTATAGATGTTGACAGTTGCCTTAAAGACACTTTATATTTTGTATTCTGCTAAAACAAAAATAAGGATTTGTGCCTTGCAAATCTCTATATACCTCAGTGGGGGTAACAGAAATGATAGCATTTAAGGTACCAGACCTAAAAAATGGGTGTAAGAACAGAAAAATGAGGATACATGTGCTAAAAGCTCACAGATGCAGTGGCAGAGAACCTGGATTTGGCAAGGTTTGCCTTCAACAAAGTAAGGCACCTCAAGATTAAGAATATGATCAAGCCAGCCACAATACATTGGAAAGTGTAGACAGAAAATGCCATGTAGACTTCAGGCCATATGAATATTTATTTGATCTTTAGACTAGGAATAATATCATTTAGAGGAATAAAATTAACAGTGAATTCTTCTAGTTAAACAATTTTATATTTACACATACTGTGCTAAACTCAAAGAAGTATTTTAATCTAGAACAGTCTAGATGGTCTTTACCAGACAAATTATCTTTACCTTTACCTGCAGTAGGTGAATGGTTTGAATGAGAAACAAGACCAGCTATATATATAGCTTGTTGTGTTTACATATCATGTAAAATTCAGACCTGACTTATGAAATTATTTTAACTTTTAAACACGTTTTTATTTCACAGACATATTTATCATAAAGTCAAGTGATTCATCCTTGATTAATATGTGAGAAAACAGACTAATATGTAAAAGACTTGATGTTGACATGACTAATTCATCAACAATTCTCACTCCCAAATCCTTATCTTTCTCTATTAAACCAGTGATTAATGGTCTGAAACCCAAAGATCATATGTGTCATAAGTATTCACAACATGACCTTTGCTCTAACCTAAGGAATGACTGTCATGTTAGAGACAGGAAGCAGGAGAACCTTTCCAGAAACCTAATTTGGCTCTGCTCACAAAGCTGACGAGTGGCAGAGCCTACTCTGCTCAGGTTTCCAACATAGAAACCAAGGATCCAGAGGTACTGAAAGTGATTTGGGACGGTGAAGCTTCGTGGTCAGTTTATTGGAATTAGAATCACCATGGAAACACATTGAACAAGTCTATGAAGGCATTTGCAGAAAGGTTAAGGAGGGATGACCCACCTTCATTGTCAACTGCACCATTCCAGGGACTGGGATTCTAGACTGAATGAAAAGGAGGAAGCAAGCTGAGAATTAACATTCATCTCTCTGGGCTTCCTGACTGAGGCTGCAATGTGACTAGCCGCTTTGCCTTCCTGCCGCAATCATATCCCTGCCTAGATGCTCTGTGAGCCAAGACAAACTGTCCTGCCTGAAGTTGTTTTTCTCAAGTATTTTGTCACAGCAACAAGTGCCTAATACACACTTGTCACTGTTTAGATGAAACTCTGACACCTTGACATCTATGTCATAAAATTTTAATTAGAAAACTTGTTTTATTCAATATTATCTACAATATAATTCAAGCATTCAAAGATACAAAATTAAAATCCACATACAAAAGGCACTAAAACAAGTGATGTCTTATTTTCAATAGCTAAGAATTTCAATGAGGAGACAAAATAACTTGATTAAAATATGTCTTAATAATAAAACTGTTATGGGCATAGTATTACCATTGTGCACGCTTTGGGGCAAGCTTTTCTGACTTTGGACAAAATGAAAATGTCCAGAAAGCAATGAAAAGAATTAAACATACTACATCCTCTAACAAATGTGACATGTCAACATTTTGCTTTCTTTTCCCTAAATTCTATGCCAAAGTTTCCATACAAGGTCTTAGACCTAAATGAAAACACTGCAGGCTGAAGGTAAAAGGGTATCATTCAGCATAAATGACAGAAAGTTCAATTTATAACAGAGTATCAAATATTTACTTGGGACGAATTTTCAGGGAAATCTTATTGATTTATCCCACATTTCACAACAATATTTTTAAAGTTTTTCTATTTACCTCTTATTTTATTTGTATTTCTGTGTATATGAATGCTTTGCCTACATGCATGTAAGTGTACCATGTTTGTACAGTGCCTGCAGAGGTCAGAAGAAACCATCAGATCCCCTGGACCTGGAGTTACTGGCAATTGTTAGCTGTCATTGGGTGCTGGGAACCAAACCCTGGTCCTCTGTAAGAGCATCCAGAGATCTTAACCCTTGAGCCATCTCTCCAGTCCCATGTTTACCTCTTACAGACAATATATCTGATCTCTAAGGGCTCATGAGGCAGGGGATAGCTCTCTGCATGCTGTAGTAAAAGAAAAGGGATCACAATGAAAACAGCAAGCTGTTCACATATGTTTCAGTGAGAACAGAGGCTGGAGTAAAACGGAAGATTATGGGTTAAGAATTCCAAGTCTGGAGCACTGAGGAAGAAAAATAAGAGGCCAGGCATCTGGCTGTGATATAACCACGTGAACCTGATGAGAGACAGACGGGCAGAAGAAGCAAGGCAGTGATATGTAGCCAGCTAGCGAATTTCCATGAGATCTTTCCAATTTAGGAAACTCACAGGAAGTACTATTGCTTATTACGTATTTGACTTTAATCCATTGCTTCTAATACAGAGGCCAGGAAAAGATGTAGGGGCCTCTGGAACTGAAGTTAGGGGATGGCTGTTAGCTGCCATGTGGGTGCTGGAACAGAACCCTGGTGCTCCGCAAGGCCAGCCAGTGACATTACCCTCCGAATCTTCTCTCTAGCCCCTAATGAAGCTAATTATAACAGACAAAGTTGTATGTAAGGACGGCTTCTAACGAATTTTCCACTTCAGGAAAGAGACCCCAGACCATCCTATAGCCAAAAAGATACCCAAAGAGTAGATTGCAGCTACTTCTTGGTAGTTGTGAGAACAAAGTTATCTTTGTATAATTAAGAGCACTTAGGACACCTGCAAGGTCTGAGGTAACACCAGCCAGTGACTAATGGCTAGCAGACAGGCAAGGTCAACAGATAAGAAAACCAGAGAGCTCAGTATAATTAGCAGTTAGCAAAACACCTGTAAGGTCAGAAGGTAGTAACGACGGTCAAGTAACTAACAGCTAGAAGATAGTCAAGGTCAAAGCTGGAGTCGGAGATGGATAGATGAAGTCTTCAACCACCCTCTACTAAGTGAGCACTGTGTGATCATCTTCCTACCGGAACATGAATACAGCATGTGGAACCTCTGTGGTCTTGACCCATAATAGCCCAGAAAATTAGGCAAGCTCAACAGCAACTTCCTCTGTCTTTCTCTACTCTCTGCCACTGCTCTATCAAAATGCTGGACAAATAAAATTCAATGGCTTTTCCTCCCTTGGAAATCCCATCTTCTCTTGGGAGTGTCTCTCACTGTTCTATAATTCTTGATAAAGCCTGCTTCCACTTTTCATACTCCCTTGAAAGTCTGTCATTAATCTTCATTGGTGTGAAACAATAAACTCGGAGCCACTGTCCTAGGTTGATCTTTGATGACTGTGAGAGTGCAGTATCTTACGTACTTGAGTCATACACAACCGGGTTTTCACTTTCAAACCCATGTATCAATAAGTAATTTACCTAAATTGATTATATAGCTGTTAAAGATGATTTAAACCCAAGTTTCTTTAACTACAATGATTATTTTCTTCTAATTATATTTTAATAATCTACTCACTCAGGTTTCAGTTACATATCAATTCAATTATAATCATTACAAGTTTTTAATGGATAAGACACTTTTTCTTCACGTGTCCAATAAATTTTAAGGTAAAAATTTGTGAAAAGTGTTTTTAAAATTTCTCATAAAAACAAAACCATCATTTTACTTAGAAAAATTAATATAGGTTGGAGAGATAGCTCAGTTGGCATAGTGCTTGCCTCAGAAGGCTGAGTTTGACTTAACTTGAAAATTGCCAGCATGTTGGCATATTTTTGCAATACTAGCACTAGGAGAGTAGAGAAGGAGACTCTCTGGAACTCTCTGGAAGCCAGTCTGGTGAGCTCCAGGCCAACGAAAGACTCTGTCTCAAAGGAGGTGGACATCATTCCTGAGGATGACATGTGATGCTGTCTTCTGGCCTCCACGTATATGCATACACACATGTAAACATATTCACATCCACGAACAAGCAAAGACACACATGTACACACACATAAAATAATAATTAAAAACTGTTCCAAGGTAGTTTGACTGTACCCTTCCTACCTTCCTAACAGCTTTGTCTCTTTCCAAGGAGGTCAGCATTTTCTCCTTCAGCAAAGCATGGTGCTTCTCATGTAACACCCTTATAGTTGGCTCATAAGATGCATAATGTAACTTCAGCCTATAAAAATAAAAGGCCAGTACACAGGAAAGGGTAAAATAGTTACATTGGTGATTTCTTTCTAACATCTAAGCCCTTTTTCTTTCATTCTATTTTTTTGTGTGCTTATAAATAAAAATGAGTAACCACATAAAGGTCAACACAACAGAGCCAAGATGCACAGATGTATTATTTTTATGTAATTTCAATCTACCTGGGGGTGAGAAATAAAGTACAGAAAGGGAAAAATCACACTTGCCTTAACCAGTTTTCTATTTCCTCACAGCACATTTTGTTGTATTCAAGTATATACTCAGAATATTGCCACAGGTCTTTGAGATTTAAATATATACATTACAGGGCACAATAGTAGTGCATTCCTATAATCCTAGCACTCAGGATAGGGAGGCAGAAGGATTAAGAATTTAAGGCAAACCTTGGCCACATAATGAGTTCAAGACCAGTCTGGGCTACAGAAGACCCTGTCTTATAAACCAAAAACAACAACAATTGAACAAAATTCTTTAATCAAGTAAAAACAATTTCAAAAAAGATAAGACAAAATAATTGGTTATAAAACAATGCTGTCATTTACTCCAAAATAAAAATAGTCTTTAAAAAAGTTTGACTAATCTCACATTAAGAAAATCAATACTGGGCGTGGTGCACGCCTTTAGTTCCAGCACTTAGGAGAAAGAGGCAGGAAAATAAACCTCTGTGAGATCAAGGCCAGCCTGCCTAGATTACATAGTGAATTCCAAGCCAGCTGGGGCTACAGGGAGACCCAGTCTCAATAAATTAAATAAAATAAATAAAAAGCAAGCATAAAAAATAGTTTGGTACCTCATAAAAGATCATTTAACTTAACATGATATAAACCCCTGCAAAAATTCTACTGGAAAAATGGTTTAAAATGTTTTATTTTTATAGAAGCACAATTTACATGACTAAAATATTTAGCTCTCAGGTGTAACAATTGAAAGAGTTTAGATATCCATATCCATGCAATCCACATTGTTAAGATCCCTAACATCCTAGAAAACACTGGAGCTGTATACACTGCATATCATAGAATATCTTCTCATTGGACACTGTTTTCCTTTACTAAACAGAATGTTTTCTAGGCTATTCCTTGTCTTGTGTATTGGTACTTTTGTTTCATTACATTTTGTGAGCAATAATCATGATAGATAGATAGATAGATAGATAGATAGATAGATAGATAGATAGATAGAG